GGGGGGGGGGTAAAAAGCAAGAAGGAGGGGGAGAGCAAAGGAGAGTGAACGAAGAATATGTTGAGTCAGGCAGACAGGACGGCGGAGTGCCACACTGCACATATACAGAGACTCACCGCCGAATGTTCATGTAAATGTATGCACGAATGAATTCGAAACAAATATGCATGTATATTATGCGGCTAGGCACACAGGCATAAAAGCCCATGTACTGTACACACACACATACACACACACACACGGAAATTAAAAACTCTTCCTGCATGCATTAAATATAGACTTTGCACATCCCTGATGAAAAATTATAAAGGCATGAAGTCCCCGAACTTGTTTGTCTAACGAGTGATTATATGCGTGTGTGTGTGTGTTTCCTTCTGTGTTTGCATTACCATGTCAAAGTTTCTCGCATTCCAAGGCGTGTTTTTATAACCATTGTTATAAATCCGGCTGTGACTTTTGGCACTGTATGACAGGCGTGTGTGTGTGTGTGTGTGTGTGTGTGTGTGTGTGTGTGTGTGTGTGTGTGTGTGTGTGTGTGTGTGTGTGTGTGTGTGTGTGTGTCGGATTAGCTTTTGAGTGGAGATAAGAGATCTGAATGCAGTTCTGATTGCTGTTGTCTGCTTTGTTGGAATGTGTCACATCAATTTTAATAAAGGATTCATACCTACGCACAGTGTTATTAACTGTAGCAGCAGGTCCAGGCATATTTGAATAATATGAAGAAATAAAACGATTGACCAGATGGCGCACACACACACACACAGGCACACACACACAGGCACACACACACAGGCACACACGTAATTACTAGTTATACTGTTACCATCTACGAAATGACAATAGGGTAACACTCCAAGATAAGACTATAAAAGTCATACACAATGATTCACGTAAATGCCATTTAGCACTTTACAGAGTTGAATCTCGAAGTTAAGTTAACTTTTATTCTAAATGCAGATAATAAAAACCTAACTACGTCAAACATACATTAAAGAGACAAACCCATATAAGGTCAATCATAATAAGTATCTCATTGAAGTACAGCAATTCACACATAAAAGAAAATTAAAAGAAAATTAAGAAGTGAGCTGAGTAGGAGCAGCTCTTTCCTCTCTTGCTTATGTTGCGTCTATACAATCTCAATATGAACAGTCCCCTCGTTATAAATATTCAGATCCTGCAGTTGTTCTCATGTCTAAAGTGTACCAGACAACAGATTCTATCCACGTTGAGACGGCAACGCTCCCTGGCAACAGTTCTACCAATCGGGACCGAGTGAGTGTATGCCGGAGTCTGTCTGAGTATCATTATGGGATGTCGAGAGAGAGAGAGAGAGAGAGAGAGAGAGAGAGAGAGAGAGAGAGAGAGAGAGAGAGGGAGAGGGAGGGAGAGAGAAAGAGAGGCTGCTTATCACTGCTTATAATGCAACATCATTCTCTGTGTATAAACCCTGCTGGGTGAAGTTGTCTGCATAGTCTGGATCCAAATCATCTTTTTCTTTAAAAAAAAGAAAAAAGGAAAAAAAATCTCCCCATGATTCATGCAGTTATGTAACAAACAGACAA